TAAAGACAAAGATCTCACCAAATACTTTCACTAGGGGGAATACATTCCACTCCTCTCAAATACAATAGCCTCGGCGCGGACAGGTTTATGATGATGGTTGTTCTACATAACCAAATTCATTGTTGTGGAAATACTCCAGACACGTGCCGCGCGCCACTTCTAGGAAAAACATGGCGTCTAAAATCTATAGCTCAGTGCTGCGCCAAATACTTTGCTGCGCTATGCAACCATGATCTTACCGAGGGTTGTACGTTGCGCGTGCCTCGTGCATCGACGCACCTTGCGCTAATTTTGAAACATGGAGGGGCTTTAGGTGGAATCGTAGACGACACCGCCGCGGCCGCCGCGAACATCCACGTGCACATGCGCGTGGACTGACGCGGACGTCCCCTCTGTCAGGGCTGGATTCGGCGCTATAGGCATTCTATGTAATGCAAATGAGTGGAGTGGGATGTATTCCCCCTAGTAAAGTATTTGATCTCACGCTCGACCTCGCTCAATCCGTTCTTCCAAGATGCCATCTTTTTCGTTCTTCTTTCAACACTGGCAACCACGGCAACGCTCGATGAGGACCGAGCCGAAGCCGAACGTGAATCCGGAAACCTACCTCCACAATAAACGTCACAACCACAGTACCGGAAAGACGGTGTGAGAGTTGAGAGTGGCCGCTGTGGGCACATATTTCAATGTTTTGGTTTTGTTAAAACAAAAACTAGGGCACGTATCGGAAAATGGTTTTCTATTCCATATTCCACGGGTGGTAGGGATTAACTCCTACACCTATCGACGTGAAGTCCGAGAATTGTTGCACAGCCCCTTTAACCTATTTAGTGCTATTCAAGCTAGAAAATTGTCATACTCCATTCACACAATCAAAAAGGCACCTTTAGCTAACATCCCCAGAAACATCTGCCATTAGGGTGCCTACATGTCCGTCTGTCTCAGGGTGAATACATCCATTGTTGCACCGAATGTGCCAGCGCGTGACGCTCTGGCGCACTCGGCACGGTTGCTCGGTGCGTGACTTGGGTGGTAAAATGGCGTCGATGCATTAGCCAAAGCTAGGCGCTCGAGCTAAGCGGCACCGGGTTGCACGCACTTCAAAATGCATAAAAAAAGATTATAAAGAAAAATGGCTGAGATGTCACCACTCAAGCAAAAGCGCGCGTGTGTATGAAGAGTGTTGGACAAAATACCCTATAAAAGTATTTAAGTTAAGTTACTAAATACCTGCTTTATAAAGTATTTATAATGCTGCTCAGGTTACTTTCACTGTAAACTATTTTGACTAGAGTACGAATACTTAGAAATGTAATTTAATTACATTTGAAGATACTTCCGCAATGCGTAATTTGTATCGATGAGAGTGACAAACACAATTATACAGTTGCGCAGATCTGGTATATCAGAATGGTTTATTAGCACGCAACCACACAGAACGAAAAAAAAATACATCGTGGGCTTCTTCTATGCAGCCCAACTCTAAGGAGCCGGATATAACTGGTACATGTTACAAAACATTTCTGGGACAAGAAAAAAAAAACGTTACTTCAGTTATAATGACGTCGTTGAATATAACGTTCTGCGGAGTACCTTAGACCCATCGTTTAACTACAATTCATATTTCCTGTACGGGGAGTTCACTATAAACGGACTTGGTATACGGAAATAAGTAAATGGATAACAAAGAGAGCCCAGATAATAGACACCGCACTGGTCACACCTTTTCCAAGTTGGTTGCATTCAGAGAGGCACTCAAGGTTGGTGGACGCTTTGTTGGCATTTGAGAGGTCATCCTGCTTGTAGTTCGTTGACGGTCCTGTTCTCTGCTTATCAATGTTCGCTTACAGAGAGTGTTTGCGAGAGCAATAAGTGCCAAACTGACGACACAATGAAGAAACAACAACAAAAAAATACACAAAAACCTAGACATTTGGTTGTAGCGGGATCAAATATACAAGCAAAAGAAAGTGTCTTCTTTTTGTGCTTACATATCATTTTCTTCTATTTGTTATTTTCTTAACACTTGCTTGTGCATTGCTGTCGTGGGTTGTTTCCCATTCAATGTTGCGCCTCAGTGTGGCGATTTTTACTTCCGTAAAACCACCTCTTTAGTTTAAGGAATTTTTGGGAAAAACTCTGGGAAACAAAAGGCTCCTTTGCAAAGGTGAGGGAAAAACTGTGCACGAACTTCGGGGTGAAATATGAGTCACAATCGGCCCAAAAGTGATCTTTTCACAAGCTTCAATCTAAGTCACCGTAGCTTATCGGAGCTAACAACAGGATTTGGTTGGTCGAAATAATGTTCCCGTTTGCTCGTGCCACGCCCGCGCCCCTTCATACCGAAAAACTTGAAAAATGGCTGAACGCCAAAAATGTATTTGAGATAATGAGTACAAGATACTCAGAAATGTAATCAAAATACTGTATCAAATACTCTCGATCAAAAGTGTTTGCATGACACCAAGACATCATAACCACTTGAAATACAGTATCTTGAGTAGAGTATTTGAGATGGGGCACAAGCCTGGTATGAAGGCACTCAATCTGCCGTCGCATGCTTCCGCCATTTCTCGGCGGATTAAGGGGAATTCAACCGAGATTTATTGGTAGCCTTTTCTTCATAGATGGCGTAAAGTTTTTCCGGAACCAACAAGCTGCATGCTCGCAGCTGCGCATGAAGGTCGGGCGCTCGGGGTGAGCTCGGGCCACGAGCTGTTTGCCGCCGATTATAAGGCTGGACTCCATGGAGCGAAATATGTGGCTGCATTTACATGGATGCGACCGTAGCGCATCGAGTCGAGATTTCACGATTTTGATTGGTAGCAGTTGGATGGAAGAGGAAGAAGTAAGAAGACAGGCTGCGTCTGATTGGTCCCTGCTCGATTCGATGCGCTACGGTCGCATTCATGGAAACGTAGCCTGTGACGAATAACTGACAAAGGTCGCCCGACGGCACGTTCGCTTTTTACGCGACGTAGAAGCCACTGTGCTGATGCCACGGGCAGAGCAAAAGCCACCGGGCGAAATTCTTTGATTTTTCGCAGGAAATTCATCTCATGGAGTTCAGCCTTTATGCGAGCTAGGTTTTGTTCGCCCGACGTCCGCCGCTACTGGCAGGGCCAAGGGCCGGCGCGGAGCACGAGCGTTATAGTAAAAAAAAACAAAAAAACTGAGAGTTCGGTTTTTGACTGGTTTTGAAGCGTTTCTTGTGATTTCAGATAATGCTTCTGGTTACTGGCAACCATGATTTTAAGCCACGAGATGACAAGTTTGGCTGCCCTGAAGCGTAGCTTATTTATACCCAAGTCACACGACCGTAAAGGTAGCTTTAGCTAAGGGACCTTTATTTTCTGCGGCCAATCAATTAACGATCTCCCGCGCGTATCGTGAGCTCGCGCCCCAAGAGCACGGGCTGATTCGTCGAGAGCAAAGGGACTTATGTTATACGTACCCTTATGCTAACCGCGTGAATATGGTATTAGTGGCACTAGTTGGAATTAGAGCAACTAAATAAGCTACGCTTCAAAGTAACCACACTTCAGACATGTTGATGCTTATATTCATGGTTGCCAGTTATCGGAAGCGTTATTTGAGATCTTAGGAAACGCTTTTCCGTCCTTCAGATATTTTAAAACAGTTCGCGACGGAGCAAAGCAATATCACCCGAGCTTCCTAACCCCACATATAAATTGGAGGAAGTGTTATTTTTGAATTCTGACGATCGAGAGTTGCGTCTGCTCTGCAATGAGCACCAAGATGGCGGCTTGTACTAGCTGATCGGGGGACGTTGTGCCGATACTCTAAGCGTAGCTCATTTAGTGGCTCTAGTTTGAACCATCCGAACGTATTATGTGAGCACACAATTCGCTGGTGTTGTGCGTTGGTTTGCGCTCGACATTTCGGCTTTTGCAAGTGCGTCCTTTGCGTGTAGAAGAAGTCGTCCACGCAACCGACACCTTGACATCATGTACTGACTTTGGCGGCGTTCATCGCTTGTTTGTCGCATGAAATTTGGTTTCCGACGAATACGCAGCGGCGTGTTGTAACAAAGTTTTGCAGTGCGAATTTTGCTGTTAATCTTTGCTTCACTGAGTTCAACCTTTAGATGCGAGCCTGCAATGAGCGTCAGATTATGCACGAGTCACGGTTGTAGGTAGAAAATAGTTTCTGGCCGTATTGCCATTTTCAGCGCTTGTACGTATGGCTTGGGCATTCCTCGCTTTAGGGATCGACGAATACGTGCGTGCTGTGCTGTGAAGATCGCACGCTGAGCGCTACGATCTTCACAGCCCAGCATTTTCTAAACAAAGAGTTTCTGGCCGGTGCGATCCTCAGTGGTCGTGCGTATGGCGGGTGCTTCGCTCACTTTTAGAAACTAGTGCCGCTAAATTATTAAGCTACACTGTAGAGTAACGACACTTGCCCATATTGTGGATTAAAATCATGGTTGCCAGTAATCTGAAGCTTTATCTCAAATCACAAGAACCGCTCTTCTGTCCTCCACAAATGTTTAAACAGTTCGGGGCCAAGCAAAGCAACATTACAAGAGCTTTCTAACACCGAATCTAATGCTGAGGAAGTCGCACTTTTGAATCACGACGATCGGCAGCCGCGTCTGCTCTGCATGCGAACCGAAATGGCGGCGCCCACAACAATGTCTGGGAACGGACGGCCGATACTCTAAGCGCAGCTCATTTAGAGGCTCTGGTTAGAACTTCTAATGGAATGGTGTATACAACACTGTAGCATAGAAGCGCAATGAAGCACGTTCGAAAGGCGAACCACACATACAGTTTTCTCGCCTGGATCGCTGCTCCAAACTTCAGAGCTACGGGACTATAGCGAACATGCTTGAAATACAGTTATCAGACTTTTGATAAATATTGTGCACCAATTAAAAAAGAGGAAAATATGAATCATATATATTGTTTATTTCCTTCGATCAAGCAGCCGTAAAATGAAGCACATAACAGAGGTGATCGTTAATCTCCGGTGTCCTAAAGAACGAGTTTACATTTGTATTTATTGTAGAGGATGTGCGTCTTCCGTCCGTAAGTGGCGAGCCAGTAAGCAAATTCGCAGCATCTGGGAAGGAAAGTGATCTCGTTTTGGCTCACCCAGAGTTCGAACTCTAAAAAAGAATGAGGTAAGTTTATTAGGTGACCGTGTCACTAATTTAAACATTATCACTGCTTCTCCAACAGTCAACTACTTTCGCTTATTATAGGAAACAACGACCATTTTTTTCACAATAATCCAAATGAAAAATGCAGAAAAGGTATAAAAGCTCATTGTTAAAAAATACAAATGGTGCTCCATATTGTCACGAATGACAAATGATGAGGCGACGAATCAACAGAAATTAAAAGTTTAATTTGGCGAACTTGTGCCGAAAACAAAAATACAAAGAGGTAGCGTCCCAGGCGTTGAAGGTCGGCGGAGTAGCACGACCGAGTGCAAGAGCGAGACTGACTCCCGACCTCCACGCGGAGAATCATTTGTACCCGCGTGGGTGCCTGCAGCATCGGGCGTAGAACATTCGGTGCGTAGAACATTCGTAACTCGATCAGAAGACAAGGTTCTCGAGCTCACAAGAACGTCAAACTCTAATTTCCCACTTTTATGTGGAAAGAAATATTAATGAGCAGAACGTAAGGGCGCAAGCGAGCTGGTGTATATGGTGATGATGACGATCAACGTTATTTTCAAAAAGGGTGGCGCCATGGCCTTATTGGGGGAAGAGGAATATAGGTAGGAAAAGTTTACATTCGGCGGTGCACTCCTGTTGAGCGCGTGAACTCCCATAGGGAGAATAGCGTCTCCCTGGCCCGTGCCTCGTTCACCGGTGTGATCCAGGCCTCTAAAGTGTCGATGTGAGGCCCCAGGTGTTCGGCTCTTTTGTCTCGCAAGCCGGCACAATCCCAGAGGAGGTGTCGGATCGTCGGGCTCACGCCGGCGGTGCATGTAGTGCAGACGACAAGTGCAGCGGGCTCGGACCCTTCCGGTGGCACCTGGTCGGGTGGGCGGCCCCTCCGTGGTTTGTAGCTACGCCACCGAGCGACTATGTCTTCGGTGAGCGCAGCTCCGGTGCGGGCCTTGTGTATTAACACTTGTGCCCCTCTGGGTAAACCCTTGGGTAATGGTGCCGGGTAGGGTGTTTGATCTCGCAGCCGACGCTGATCCTCTTGTCGGGCCGCAGATTTCTTCTCTAGAAGGTTTGGGTCCGGCGGCGCGAAGGGGCCGAAGATCCCTGGGTTGGAGCGGTCTTCCCTGTGCTCGCTCGCCCACGCGTGTGCGGCCTCGTCACCGATGCCGCCCGCCTGTCCCGGGAACCAGTCCAGTCTCACCTCGATACCTTTGGTGTTTTTCAAATACGAGCACAGACTCTTGATTCGCTGGCAGAGCGTCCCTTCGCGAGGAGCTTTCCCCAGACGGGCAAGGGCTTCCCTACAATTCGTGAAGATGGTTACACGGGTAGGTACGTCCACTGGGTCGAATGTCTCTCTTATTCGAGATAGTGCCAGGAGTATTGCATCAAGTTCGAGGCGGCTCGTGCTAGGTTCGCTGTCGTATTGAAGTGTCTGAGCATATCGGTCCTGGCCAGTAGCGTAGGCGAGTGTGGCCCGCTTCGTCTCTTGGCACCACGCGGCGTCTGTGAAGACCGCGTGCTCCACGAGGTCTGCCCGCGCAGCGAGTGCAGCTCTTTCTTCCGAATGTTCTTCGCGGTGTTGTTTGCGAGTGAGCGGCTTCGGGTTTCTAACCATAATGTCCTCCCATGGTGGAATGCTCTTCGGAGGCGGGGCCTCTCCTACGGGAGGCCGCCAACCTTGTAATTCCAGAAGACGTTGACCGGCTCTAGTCGATGTCCGGCGCCGCTGATGGCCAACAACGCGGGTCTCAATGATGGCTTGTAGAGTCAGAAGATTCGAGTACAGGCACAGCTCTTCCGTCTTAGTGTGTCTTGGGAGACCCGTGATTGCACGCAGGCATTCACGATGCAATATTTCCAGCTGTTTGAGCTGCGCCTTGGTCAGGATGAAACATCCGGCTCCAGAGCAGGCTTTTGAGGTCAGGACTGCTTGAGTGAGCAAGCGGATGGTGCGCGTGCCCGCGCCACCGAGGCGGTTGCCCATTATCTTAATAGAGAGTTTTAGAATAGGGGCCCCCAAAGCTTGGGGGCCCCAAAGAAATAGGGGCTCACCACTGCGCATGCGCAGAACCCAAACTCTGTTTGGGGCTTTGGGTTGGCGTTTGGGCCCCCAATTGCTTGGGGCCGGGTTGCGTCGGCAAACATGGCGCTGCCCTTTCCGCTCGCTTCGGAGCAAATTCGTCATGGTCGCTGCAGTATTAGCCAATTTCAATGCCAATGAATAGTGCAACCGACTTTCGCTTTGGTTTATCTCGCTCAAATCACAAAGAATGAGCGGTGGGCTCGCCCCATTTTAAAGATCGTCCCTGACTGTGGCCATTTCTAAGCCTAAACATACGCGGTAACCGTTGACATGGCAACGTATTGCTACTCCGTGGCTCCGAGTAGATTTCGTTCGTGGCACGATACCTGCATCTTGAAAACAAGTATTTCAAGACTTCAAAGTCGCACCAGCTCAGATCTAAATAGTGCAGCTGCTCGCAGAGTATGCGCGCTCGTGTTCGTCTCAGTCTCGGCATAGTTCAAGGCCTAAATCTTCGGCTGCAGATGGTCAAAGCGCACACGAACGCCCAAAAAGTTCGAGAACGAGCCATACCTAAAACAGCGCGCAAGCACAGGAGGAAGAAAATAGAACACAGGAAAACAGCGCTGACTCGCAACTTATGTATTGTGAAAGAAAGAGAAAGAGGAAGCTTCAGACATGAAGCCCACGCGCACCCACAAGGTAAAAAGAAGAAAGAATAAGAACAGGTACATTACTAAGTTGCAGTAGAAAAGGAGAAAGCTGACATTATAAGGTCACGACGAAAAAAAGATGAGAAAAAAGAGGAAAGAAAAGCAACAACGTGGGTGACGTGGACTTCATATCTGAAGCCTTCTCTTTCTCTTTTTTTCACAATACATAAATTGGGAGTCAGCGCCCCTACCTGTGTTTTGTTATCCTCCTCCTGTGCTTGTGCGCTGTTTTAGGTATGTCTCCTAAGTACCAACTAGCTCAACTCTCTATGTTACTACGAGAACAAGCGCCCAATTCGAGCGCTTCGGATTGGATTGTTTCGGCTACACCCAAAGCGGGGTGGCCGAACGGGTCTAGGTCGATCCAAGGTCAGAAGAAAATGGCGGAAGAGAAGGCTCCCGCGCGCGTTCGCTTCTCGATCGACGATGACATTTATGTGCTACGCGAAGTGTACGCCACTAACCCATTCCAGGATTCCAGGAGATGGACTTCAATTGCCGAAAGGGTCTCCGAAACAATCGGAAGAGAATTCTCAACGCGGGCCATCCTCGACCGGGTCGACCTGCTGCTGGCACAGTTCAATACGAAGCACAGATTTCCCGGTGACTTTTCGTAACGTAACGTAAAAAAAAAAAAAAAAAAAAGGTTTGTGTGAACGAGTTTTTAGCCACGGAGTAGCAATATGTCGCCATGTCAACAGTTACGAGGTATGTTTAGGCTTAAGAACGGCCAGAATCAGGTACGATCTTTAAAATGGGGCGAGCCCACCGCTCATTCTTTGTGACTTGAGCGAGATTAAGCAAAGCGACAGCCGGTTGCACTATTCATTGGCAATGAAATTGGCTAATACTGCAGCGACCACGACGAATTCGCACCGAAGCGAGCGGAAAGGGCGCCGCCATGTTTGCCGATATACAACCCGGCCCCAAGCAATTGGGGGCCCCACGCTATTTCTCGAATTTCACGGTGGGGGCGCGAGCCAACCCAAAACCCCAAACGAAGTTTGGGTTCTACGCATGCGCAGTGCTGAGCCCCTATTTCTTTGGGGCCCCAAAGCTTTGGGACCCCCTATTATAAAACTCTCTCTAACTGTCGTGCTGCTTCAGCTACAGGATGGGCTAAAAGCAAGCTACACCTACCAGCGTCGTGCCTGCGACCGGGGAATGGCCCCGTCGAGTTCGCAGATAATTCCATTGGCTCACATGATAGCCTGGTACTTGAGGGCGTGCACTTTCTTGTGACCAGAGAAGTAAATCTTCTGATTCAGAGACGGTCGGCAGATAGGTCTTGCTGTGCCGTTCCAACTGGTGTTACCGTCCCTATTATTTGAACCGCAAGCCACAATCAAGTGTCGTTTCAGCGCAAATGTTTTACGTTTTCATAATTTTTCACTGTTAAGAAGTTAGTTCGTTGTCCACAATGGCGCTGCACGCGAAAAAGGCGAGCGTGCCGCGTTGCGTCGTCACAAACCCTATTCTATAAGCACGTTGCGTGAGGTGTCGTTGCGTTGGGTACCCCAAAGCGTTGGGTTCCCCAAAGCGTTGGGGCCCCCTATTCTAAAACTCTCTAATGAGTTGGAGCTGTTGTCGCCACTTGGGTTTGAGTTGCTTGATCCACTCTTGCGCTCCTCCTTGAGCGTGCAGTGGGACTCCCAATATGCGAATCCAACGTTCGGGGGAGCGCTGAATGGACTGGCCGGCCAGGGTCAGGTGTATTTGAGCTCTCCCAGACAACACCCGACATCCTCAGGACATCCTCGAAAGGTACAAACGTCCTCACGGTTTTCAAGACGTCCTCAGGACATCCTGAGAACGTCAGTTGCTGGATCATCCTAGAAACGTCCTTCCGAGGACTTATTGAGGACGAAGGATACAAAGTTAAACGTAATATATACGTCCTCAATTTGATTGCGTTTTAAAAAAAAATAAATGAATGAAATGGCGGTAGTATACACAGTTGACGGTCAGTGCTCAACTAAATTTCCCATATAAATTATTACATGTAGTTGCGTAAGTTTAGGACATCTTTTAACTATAGTTTTGATCGAACAACTCTTTAATAAAACCAGGACGCACTAAAATTAATATTAGTTTTGTATTTGCGCAGTATTTCGAAATTCTGTTCCATTGGCAACATCTAATCTAGGTGGCGCAAGCTACCGCCTACTACAAGGCAATTATCCACCCATCCGAGAGACTCAAGCAAGCTAAGCCAAGCCAGGACAGACACAGAAATAGCGTCGAGG